GTTACAGTAGGGTTTGGGCACATAGAGAGCGGGTCATGGGAAATTCCTCAGCGCCTTGGAGAGATGGGGGGTTTAAAGAGGAGGGGGATCGAGGATGAATAGGTAAACAAAGATTGGGGGATACAGAATTTGTTTGGCTACCTAAACCCTTAGTTTACCTCTCCCCACCTTTAGTTAATGTGTTTTCTCCTTTTAATTTTTTTTTCTTAATTTTTAAATTTTTTAGGATGGGGTCTGCTATGTTGCCTAGGCTGCCCTCGAACTCCTGGGCTCTAGTGATCCTCTTGCCTCAGCCTCCCAAGTAGCTGAGCCACCACATCTGGCTAATGTGTTTTCTCCTTTGTTTAGCTGCTCCTCTGGATTCAGCAATGACCCTGAGTTTTTTCTCACCAGTGGATTCTCCTGCTCTCATCATGAACCCCTCCCCTGATTTGGACCCCTTCTTTTCTCCCCTCTGGCCTCCATGATCATCTCCTTTCCTGAGTCAAGGCAGATACCTGGGAGGGCATACCCTATGCCTGGACATCTACAGTGTGAGTGGAGAAGCCCAGTTGCATTCAGGAAGTCGATGGAGCTGACTCTGGCCTGGTTTTCAGCGGTTCTGAGTACCTGCATGTCTTTAAGAATGCTTTCTGTTTCAAGGCCCATCATCTCCCACTGGTCTGGCACTTTGTGAGGCTTGTGGTAAGGCCTCAAGTGATCCTTGCCAGCACCAGCTCATCTACTGGGCTTCCTGTACATGCTCCTTCTGCCCCAGGTAGTTCAGCAGTACCAGAGAGTTGGCCCAGCGTGTCCTAGTGCGTTAGAGCAGACTCAGTATGTTACTGACATGGGCACAAAACTGACGCTTTGAGCAAGCAGTGTCCTGGGACTCCTTCCCTGGGTCTCCAACATCTGACTTCAGAGATATCAATTACAGAGCTTGGCTCTGGTGCCACTAATGGACAACCACTTTTTTTTCTGAGTTACTAAGATTGAAGTCCAAGACTAATCTCCAAATTCAGCATGTGCTGGAAGTCTATGGTTGTCAGAAAAAGGAGGAAAAAGTGAAAAAGGATTATTTATCTAGGGCAGTTACTGGTGTCTTTTTCCCTATTAGTCTTACACAAGAGGCAGGGATAGATTTTTTTTTTTTTTTTTGAGACAGAGTCTCACTTTGTGCCAGGCTAGATGGAGTGCCAGGCATCAGGCCTGGCTCACAGCAACCTCAAACTCCTGGGGCTCAAGCATCCTACTCTCTTCAGCTCCCGAGTAGCTGGGACTACAGGCATGCACCACCATGCCCGGCTAATTTCTCTATCTATATTAGTTGGCCAATTAATTTCTTTCTATTTATAGTAGAGATGGGGTCTCGCTTCTGCTCAGGTTGGTTTCGAACTCCTGAGCTCAAAAGGATCTGCCCACCTCGGCCTCCCAGATGCTAGGATTACAGGCGGTGAGCACCGCCCGCCGAGACAGAGTCATTTTATATCATCCAGGGCTGTCTCAATTCTTGGGCTCAGGTGACCCTCTGCCTCAGCCTCCTGAGGAGTGGGATTGCAGGCTCCAGCCACACACTGGCAGATGCTGGGTTTTATCTCTGCACTGTCTGGTTTTTGTGACGGGTAGTTAACTTTCTGTTTTCAATAGCCCTGTCATCAAATGGGAATGAATTTTCCCTCCTTGTCAACACATGGTGGTGATTTCACCATATCTGTAAGAAAATTTTCTGCCTTGTTCTTTGTTTCTTCCTCTCAGTTTTAAAATAGCATAGTCCTGGGACTTGTCTCAAACCAGGATGAGGTGGTCACTTATTTTGCCCTCACCTATGTCCCTAAGCTTAAACTGTCACTAACTTATTGACAACCAGGGATACTCGTGTAATTATATACTCAGTGGCTGACGGGGCAGCCTTTACTGAGGAGTAAAAGGAGACGGGCCAGTTCACTGGTCCCCGGAGTCTGCAGGTCTTCAGAGCTCCTTGCACATGTAGAGCACACACAGCACTTCCCACTCAAATCTCTGGCCCTACATCTGTGTTGTTCTGTGGCGAGGCCTTCGAGCACTTCGGAGTCTCGCAAGGCATCACTCACAGCAGCCCAGGTTGCTTGAGCTCATACCTGCCTTCTGTCCTTAGCACTTCCAAGATGCAGCGCTGGCCCAGCACGTTGGGGCCCACTAGGTTGGGCAGTTGAGAGGCAACTGGGGCTCCGTGGAGTCTCTTGTTTCTGGTCCAGAGCATAGGGAACTCAGTTTCCACATTCTGTAAAAATGGGACACAGTTCCTATTCCAGGATGCATGGGATGAAATGCGACATTAGACTGTCAGGTGTGGTAAGTAAGCCTACAGAGATCAGATACTGTTCAAAGGCAGCCAATAATAGCTGCCTTGCTTTTTGGTAGCAACTCACAGGACCTACTGTGACGGCTCAAATAAATGTTAGTTTTGATACTTTTCTCTTTTTTTTTTTTTTTTTTTGAGACAGAGTCTCGCTTTCTTGCCTAGGCTAGAGTGAGTGCCATGGCGTCAGCCTAGCTCACAGCAACCTCAAACTCCTGGGCTCAAGCGATCCTCCTGCCTCAGCTCCCGAGTAGCTGGACTACAGGCACGAGCACCATGCCGGCTGATATATATATATATATTATATATATTTATATATATATTAGTTGGCCAATTAATTCTTTCTATTTTTTTTTTATGGTAGAGACGGTCTCACTCAGGCTGGTTTTGAACTCCTGACCTTGAGCAATCCGCCCCGCCTCGGCCTCCCAGAGTGCTAGGATTACAGGCGTGAGCCACCGCGCCCGGCCTCTTTTTTTCTTTTTTGAGACAGAGTCTCACTCTATTGCCCAGGCTAGAGTGCCATGGCGTCAGCCTAGCTCACAGTAACCTCAAACTCCTGGGTCAAGTGATCCTCCTGCCTCAGCTCCTGAGTAGCTGGGACTACAGGCATGCACCACCATGCCCGGTTAATTTTTTCTATATATTTTTAGTTGTCCAGCCAATTTCTTTCTATTTTTTTAGTAGAGACGGGTCTTGCTCTTGCTCAGCTTGGTGTCCAACTCCAGAGCTCAAATGATCTGCCCGCTGAGGCCTCCCAGAATGCTAGGATTACAGGCGTGAGCCACCGCGCCTGGCGGATACTTTTCTAATTGCTGCAGGAGGGCCGGAACTCGAACGATTTGGAACCTTTCTATTTCAGGTGTGAGTTTCCGGCCGGAGTACTTTCCTGCTGCTCTCCGAATCCTGAAGCTGGGCAGTCCCTGCCTCCTGCTCCAGAAGGCGGAGCATCCCCAGAAGTCACCCTTTCGGCCACCTCCGGACCCAAAAATTTGCTGCGTCTGGATACGGAGGCAGGGCGGGGGTCAGAGGAGTGAACAGGCTCGGGAGCTGTGGCATTCTTAGAGTCCTGGCCGATGGAGCAGGGAGGGAGCTGGGTGTGGGCCTGTGTGGCCCCCAGGGCAGTGGGTGTTGAAGACTGAGAAGCCTTGTGAGGCAGGGTTGGGGAGGGGCTGCCGAGACCAGGGGGTGAGGTCTAGAGAGAGAGCAGAAAGCGAGGAGTGGTTTACTTGGGCCCCAGTTGACCCAGAGACTCAGACCTGAGATTCACTTTACTCCCCAAGCGGGAGAAGGGGTTGTTGCTTCGGAAAGCAAGATAAGTGGGGCGAATAGTGGACCTTAGAGGGGGTCATCCAGGAAAGATTCCTGAAGGAGGCAGGGCCCAGGCTGCAGGCTGGGGAGGCTTTGGGCAGCAGGAGGGAGGAGAGGGTGCTGGAGTAGGGATCACTCTGCCACTCTCCCTGGAGATCCGAGGTAAGCCTCTGGCCCTTTCGGGAGCTCAGTGGGTGCTTCTTTTTGCCAGCCTCCCAGGACTGTTGAGAAGATTAAGCAAGACCCTGGATATGAATGCTCAGTGTGAACTGAAATTCAGGGGACATGAGTAAACTGTCACAAATGAGTCTGGAGGATGAGAGAGATTGCTGGGGCCCAGGTGTTTATTTGGTAGTATTGGGGGTGGGGGTGGAATGGAAATCCCAGACAGAGCATGAGCCAAGGCACAGTGTCCCAAAATTTGAGGTGTGAATGGAGAAGTCAGCATGATCCATTGCAGCTGTCTGGTCAGGGTTGAGTGAGGGCCGGGGTGAGAAAGGTAGTTGAGGCCAGGTTGTGAGAGGCCTTGAATGCCAGGCTAAGGGGTTTATAGTGTAGGCAGGACCCTGGGAGGATTTTAAGCAGAGGTGGTGTTAGAAAGATCCTTCTGGAGCTGGTGGACTGGTGAGTGGCGCGTACAGGTGATGCCTAGCCAGCCTGGTGGGGGGGGTCAGAGGACATAGGATTCCAGAAGGCTAAGGAGGAGGTAGCCACTAGAGGAAAGGGGAAGAATTGCCAGTCAGAGGAGAACACAGAAGCCTTTGGATGTAGAACTGTGCAAACTCAAGTTCTGGCCGGGGGCTCTGAGATGCTGTGTGTGGTTGGAACACAGGAATGAGAAGTGGGGTGGAGGTGTGGGCGGACCACCTCACAAATGGCCTCTGATTCCAAGCTGAGGAACTTGGGCTTGGTCCTGAGGGTAACAGGGGACATGGAAAGGTTTTGAATGGTGCAGAAGTCACATTCAACACAGCTGTGAGAAGAATCTTGGGCTTGTATGGGATGAGAACTGGAGGTCAGGATTCCAAGAAGTGGATGGAGGGGCGGTTTGCTGGAAACCAGGGTTTGCGCTGGGGTGGCTGTGGCGGCTGTGGCGGTGGCATTGAGGAGAAGTGTGAAGTGCTTGCCAGCAGGGGTCACATGCACTGACTCAGGTCAGGGATGTGTGACCTTAGGCCAATCACACCATCTCTCTGAGCTTCTGTTTCCTTATCTGTAAACTAGGGATTCTAATGGAACTCACCTGGTAGGTCTGCTCTGCAGGTATAATGAATTTAGGCATGGCTGGTCCTGAGTAAGGGCTCAATAAATGTTGGTCATTGTTGTCATTATTTCTGGGGATAGTGGTGGGGGTGGGTGGGGTGGGGTGGGGGTGGCAGGTGTGGCTGTCTTAGATGCAACTAGTTATATGGGCCTGAAAGTCAAGAGAGGGATTGGGTGGGAGGCTTAGATTGGGGAGCTGTAGGAGTAAACCAGTGGTTCTCAACTGGGAGTGATGTTGCCTGCTAGGGGACATTGGGTAATCTGGAGACATTTTGGGTTATCACCACTGGGGCTTGGGGGAGGATGCTACTGGCATCTGGTGGGTGGAGGCCAAGGATGGTGCTCAGCACCCCACAGTGCACAGGACAGCCCCTCACAATGAAGAATTCTATGGTCTCAAATGTCAGTACTGCTAAAGTTGAGAAACTGTGGTGTAGGCAGAAGGTGTGGTTGAAGATATATGAGATGGTGATCCAGGAAGTAGGAAGGAGGACAAACTCAAATGCCTTAAACGTGCAGGCAAATGACCAGAGCAGGGACAGGCCCCGTACACCAGGCATGCCTTCTCATCCTGCCCTCCCCAATAAAATTACTAGAGGAAGAACTTCTAGGCAGTACTAGCTGAATAAAATTCGAGCCACGTGTAATGTTAAATTTTCTAGTGGCCTCACTAAAAAATAATGAAAAGAAACAGGTGAAATTAATTTGAATAACATACCTTCCTTAACCCAGTCTATCCAAGGTATCATTCAAAATGCAATCCAACATCAAATTATTTGTGAGATCATTTGCATTCTCTCATTTCTTTTTTGTTGTTGTTGTTGTACTAAGTCTTGGGAATCTGTTGAGCATTTTGTGTGTGCACAGCACATGTCAACACAGAGCAGGCTTTGAGTGCTCATCGCCTTGTGGGCCTGGGGGCTGTCGTTCTGGACATGGAAGCCCTAAGAGATCTTTAATGTTAGCTTCATATCACAATTGTTGGATCACTTGAAAGTTTTCTGGAAAAGGTGGCTGCCTTCTCAGTTCCAGCTGGTTCTTGCCACATGTAGAAGTGGTTTTTGAAGTGTACCTGGCAATTTGAATTTGTGTGGGCATCCTCTGGCTTTTAAAACATTGCCCTGTACAATGTTTAAAAAAAAAAAACAAAAAACCCACAAAACTTCGTGGCCTTTGAGCCTCCAGTTTGCACCTGGTTGAGGGGTGGTCTTCAGATCTGTCCCATGAGGTAGGTAGCCACTAGTTACATGTGGCTATTTAGATTTAAATTATAGGAAAGTAAATAAAATGTAAAATTCAGGTCCTTGAGCCACATCTCAAGAGTGCAGTAATCCCACGTGGCTAGTGGCTGTCATACTGAACAGCGTGCAGATCATGGAACATTTCCACCACTGCAGAAAGTTCTGGTGGACCACTGTCTAGGACATAGCTCTGGCTACCACCCTCCTATCCCCCCAGGCCCCCCAGCTGTCCTCAGCGCTCTCCCCGCCTCACCAGTGCCTGCTCCAGGACAAGCGGAGTGCCCTACAAGTACACGGCAGCTGGAGGGAGGACAAGCTGCGGGCGCCACGCTGCGGCCGGGCGAGGGCTGCAGCTCCCGGGGTGCGACTCCTCTGTGCAGTTGCAGCGCACTCTGTGCTCAAGCCCTTGGCGCGCGCGCCTGCGCCCGGGCCTTCGAGTGCCCCAGTGACCAGAGCCCCCGCGCTGACGCACACGCCGGCTGGCCGGCTCTGCCCCCACCGCCTCCGTGGGCCTCGGCTTCCCCATCTGCCCTGTGGAAAGTGCCACCCTTCCCCGCTTCCTTAGCAGGCAACATCTGGCCTTCTCTTGCCCTCAGTTTCCCCACGTGCCCACTGGATACCACCTTCCCCACCTCTATATCTGGCAAGGTCTGGCCTTCTCTGGGCCTCAGTTTCCCCATGTGATCAGTGGGAAGTGCCACCCTTCTGCACCTCCATATATAGCACCGTCTGGCCTTCTACCGGCCTCGGTTTTCCCATTTGCTGGAGAAACGGCTTGTGCTACATCAGAGCAAACGGCTGGCCTCTGGACCTCGCGTTCCCCGTTTGCTCAGCCAACAGAAATATCCCTTCTCGCCCTCTGCATTGTGTGGTGGCTATGCCTGAGCAGGCAGGGTGGCCCAGTGGAAAGAGGACAAACTTGGGCGCCAATTCCTTGTGGGACTTCGGACAAAAGACTTAACCTTGCTTAACCTCAGTTTATTGGCCGATCTCCGTCAAAGCGATTGAATTATTCCTGTTGGGAAGGTGGTGGTGGGGAGCAGGGGGACCGGCTTCTTTGGAGGGACCCGCGTCTCCCGTTCCCGGGTCCCCCGGAGGCGCTCCATAAAGGCGGGCCTTTGGGAACAGCCGCCTCAGAGGCAGCGGAACCTTCGCGCGGAGTTCGAGCGTTTCCGGCCGGCCTCCTTTCCCAGGGACGTCGTCGCCCCTCGCGCCCCCGCGCCCGCGCCCCCAGTCCCCGCATCCCCGGCGCCGCCGGCCCGGAGCTGCCCGGAAGTCTCGGTCCCGACGCCGGCGCTCGCCAGAGGAAGCCCGGGGCCGCCCGGGACCTCGGCCCGCTCCTCCGGACCTGAGAGGCCGCTGCACCGGGTACGGGGGCCGGGATGGAGGGAGGAGCCTGGCTCGGGGCCGGCTCCGAGGCCGGGCAAGGCTGGCGGGAGTGAGCTGGGGCCTTCAGCGGTGGGGGTGGGGTGTGGCGGGGAGGGAAACTGTGGGGTCCGGATGCATGGACGAGAGGAGAATAAGAAGACCCCCCAGGGGTTGTAGCAGCTTGGGAGTATGGAGGGCGCCCGGGCGCTGGGGTTTGCAGGAGGAAGGGGAGCAGAGTGAAAGAGAAGAGGGGCGGAGGGGCCGTGCTATGTATGGGGGGAGGGACGCCCACCCCCAACAAGAGTTAAAGAGGAGTCGAGTCATATGTATCTGGAAAGGAGGGAAAGGGGGCTTGGGAGAGGTAGAGTAGGAAAGGGAATCCAACGGTCTTGGTATGTATAACGGTCTTGGTATGTATAACGGAGAGTGGAAAGAAGCCCCCAAAGGGTATAGAAGGAAGTAAAAAGGTTAGTGTCATATGTAGGGGTGGGGAGGACCCTTGAGGGGAAAGTAGCAGGTTGCAAGATGGGAGGGGGAGCCTTGGGGTGTATATAAGGAATGAAATAGAGAGGATGGGTTCCGTAGTGGGGAGAGGATGGTGAGACCTTGAGAGACAAGTGTGTAGGAACAGGATAGTGGAACCTAGTGAAACGTGGGGAATTGGGTTAGTGGGGCTCTGGGATGTACCTAGAGAGAAAGTGAGAGAGGCCCTCAGGCATCTAGTGGGACGGAGATCTGGGAATGCCTGGAGGCTTATGGGGGGAGGGTGGGGGGGGGAAAGAAGATGCAACCTGAGCTGGGGCTGGGCATTGCGGAGAGAAGAATTGACCGATTAGAGAGTTCCTGGAGGGCCCCTGGTGTGAGATGTAAAGGGGGAAATTGTTCTTACTGGGGTTTCTGAGAAAACAAAGAAAGAAATTGACTTGGAGATTGATTGCCTGCTGGGGTGGGTCTAGGGGAGGCAAGGGAAGGTAAGTGGGAGGACCACGCCCTCAGACCAGACCTGGGGGCTGAGTGGAGGATCCTGGAGGAAGAGGGCTGGTTGTGGCGGGGTTTTGCAGCTGGGGATCATTCTCCATGCAGGATGATGGAACCTGGGAAATCTGGACTGGAAGAGTTTTTACTTTGTTGGGGTCAATGGCACAGAAAGGGTAACAAACAGTGAGATGGGGACGTTTTCCCTTTTAGGAAGCTTTTCCTAAAAGGCAGTGGCGATTTTAACTTTTTTCCCCTCCGCCGCTCCCAGCTGCCGCTCCAGATGCTGCTGCTGCCGCCGCGGCCACCCCACCCTCGGTCCTCCTCTCCGGAGGCCATGGACCCACCGTCCCCCAAGGCTCCCCCTTTCCCCAAGGTGGAAGGCCCCTCCTCCACTCCTTCCTCGGCGGCAGGGCCCCGACCCCCGCGGCTGGGCCGCCACCTACTCATCGACGCCAACGGGGTCCCCTACACGTACACGGTGCAGCTGGAGGAGGAGCCCCGGGCACCGCCCCAGCGCGAGGCGCCCCCAGGAGAGCCCGGCCCTCGCAAGGGCTACAGCTGCCCAGAGTGCGCCCGTGTCTTTGCTAGCCCTCTGCGGCTGCAGAGCCACCGTGTATCGCACTCGGACCTCAAGCCCTTCACGTGCGGCGCCTGCGGAAAGGCCTTCAAGCGCTCCAGCCACCTGTCGCGGCACCGCGCCACGCACCGTGCCCGCGCGGGCCCACCGCACACCTGCCCGCTCTGCCCACGCCGCTTCCAGGACGCCGCAGAGCTGGCACAGCACGTGCGCCTCCACTAAGCTCGACACCTGTGCTGCCCTGCCTCTCTTTGGGCCACCAAGTCTGACCCACACAGCGTCACTCCCACACACACTCCCTGGCTCTGAGGTTACTGCCTTACTCTGGGCCTCAGTTTCCCCATCTTCGAAAAGGAGAAGCATCATTCTTTCCCCCTCTTTCTAGCTGTGTGATGTAGACCAAAGTCATTGCCCCTCCCTGGACCTGGGAGCCAGTCGGAACTGGGTTCTGGTCCAGCTGTGCTGTGAGCCTTTTCAAGTGAAGTGACCTCTCTGAGCCTTGGTTTTCTGCTATCTGAAGTGGTGAACTGGTTGTTGTCCTAGAGGGGAAGAGATAACAAAAGAGCACAGGCACGGTCTGGTTCATTTCTGTATCTCCCCCACTTCTGCTCACGACCTCCACCCTTTGCTCAATAAACATTCCGCACTCCATTTTCAGGCTCTTACTTGCGTGTGTGTGTGTTGGGTATGGGGTGGGGGTAGGTGACCGGACCTTGAGATCCTGGGAACCTTTCTCTGGGAACGTGTTTCCGGCCGGAGGTGTTTAGCAAAGGCTCAGGCGCCCCGCCCCCACCTTCCTCCCTGGGACCCTCTTCTCTCTCCCCGATTCTCTTTCCCTTTACCCGGCGCCGCCTGCTCCTAAGGGACACTCGGAGGCCCCCGTCCCGTCGCCGCCTGCAACTACAAGGGTATCCCGGGGCCATTTGGAGTCGCCCGGACCTGAGAGGCTGCTGCACCGGGTACGGGGGCCGGGAGGAGGGAGGGAACTGGGAGCGGGTGTCGGAGAGGGGCGGGGCCGGGTGGAGGACTACCTGTGCGCGGGGCGGGCGTCCAGAGGGTGCAGTTCTGGGGCTCTGAGGGGCGCTTCCGAGAACTTACATAGACAGGCTCAGAAGGCGAGGGCCGCGGACCCGGGAGTGGGCTCCTGGAGAGCGCTAGGACCTAGAAAAAGCTGGGGGTGGTGGTGGATGGGCGAGGACTAGAGAGAACCTGGAGGTAGGTGGGTGAGGGGAGGGGGCACAGAATTGTTCAGGGAGAAGGCTAGAGGGCGGGTTAGAGCCTGGGAATCCTGAGGTTGCCGTCCACTGGAGTAGGCTTGGCCTTATGTAGTGGTGGTAGAAAAGGCTTCTGAGTAGAGTGTGTAGGATGAACCAATACTCAGACCCGGGTCGAAACCATATAGAGGGAAAAGAGGTCTGGAGCTCTACTGGGTGGGGCACTCAGTGGCTTGGGGAGGGCACAGAGGGGAGAGAGATCGAGGTCCTGGCTGTGCATGGAGGGTAAAGAGATCCTGTGTGTACACTAGGTGGTGGGGCACCAAGGATAGGGGAGGTTTTCAAAGAAGGGAGACCCTGGGAACATTACAGAGGGTCACTGAATGGAGGAGTGGGTAGAAGAAAGACTGACGGGAGAGGAAGGCAGAGGTCCTGGGCCGGGTATATAGAGGGAAAAAAGTGGAGCCTGTGGTGCTGAGCATCTCTCTTCTATGTAACATTCTCCTCCTCTCTCCCATGCACCAGTCCTCAGCCACCCCTCCGGATGCTGGTGCTGCTGTCCCCTCAGCCCCTGGCACTTTACTCCAGTGAGGCCATGGAGGACCCTCCCCGTCAGACAGGACGGTCCCCAGAACCTGCACCTTCCTCCTCCACGGGATCTTCCCAGACTTCATCCCCTCCAAGGCCCAATCACTACCTGCTCATTGACACCCAGGGTGTCCCCTACACGGTGCTGGTGGGTGAAGAGTCACAGAGGGAGCCAGGGGCTGATGGGGCCTCAGCCCAGAAAAAGTGCTACAGCTGCCCCGTGTGTTCAAGGGTCTTCGAGTACATGTCTTACCTTCAGCGACACAGCATCACCCACTCGGAGGTGAAGCCCTTCGAGTGTGACACCTGTGGGAAGGCATTTAAGCGGGCCAGCCACCTGGCAAGGCACCACTCCATTCATCGGGCAGGTGGTGGGCGGCCCCATGGCTGCCCACTCTGCCCTCGCCGCTTCCGGGATGCAGGTGAGCTGGCCCAGCACAGCCGGGTGCACTCAGGGGAGCGCCCGTTTCAGTGCCCACACTGCCCTCGCCGCTTTATGGAGCAGAACACGCTGCAGAAGCACACTCGGTGGAAGCACCCATGAGCTGGGCTGCTGGGTGCCCCAGGTGCCATGGAACTCAGGGGGACACCTGGTGCCTGGAGGTTGGCTTCTAGGGCCCTGGACATAAACACAGACCAACCTCATCCTGGAGGCCAAGCCATGCCTGAAGGAGGAGCCCGTGAGTAATCATCAGTTCCTCCTGTTTTGGAGCTTTGATGGGAATGAGACCTTACATGGAATGGAGTCCTCTAGCCTCAAAGACGTCAGATATTCCATGGCCATGGTGAAGCCTTGACTAGAGTGGTGGGTGGGGGGACAGTGCCATGTGTGGACATTCTCTGGCCTCATAAAAGTGGCTGGGGCCATTGTGAATCTATATAACGTTTTTAAGGTCTCCATGCTGATGTTGGGGAAAGGGGCCCCAGATTTGCCTCCCAACACCCAACCAGGCCTGAGACTGGACTAACAATAAACATGTTTCCCACTTTGAGCACTTGATGTTTGTTTTTGGAGACAGCACCTTGGAGCATCTTTGACGGCTGCTTAGCAGGGAGACCCCAGCAAGTGCCTGATTCACTGCAGGCCTCAGCTTGCCTGGCTGGGGAATGGGAAGGTTGGCCTGCATTGGAGTTGGGCCCACCTCAGCTCCTGAAGACCTGTGTCATCTGGGAAGAGTGTTTTTAAATTAAAAAAAAATTTTTTTAAACTAGAATCCACTGCAACAAACACACTTTATATGGCAACCCAGTATACAGATACACAAAATAAATGTGAAAAGTTTCTTTAACAGTAGTTACCTTTGGTATGTACAGGGCATGAGAATGTTTCTTTCATTGACATTATTTTTTAAACTGCTGAGTCCATCCTACTATATTGAATCCTCCACCCAGGAACCTGTAGATTGAAAAAGACCAATCTAGGGCACGTGGCTCCCCCTGGACTTTTAGATCCAGGTTGCAGTTTATCTGTGAAGTCAGTGGAAGAGGAGAGGAGTGTGGTCACAGCTTTCCAGGTGGTGCAGACATTTAGATTCTCCCTCCACAGGATGAACACCATGCTCTCTTAAGGGCTGGCAGAATTCCAGAGCATGGAGCAGCAGGAGGAAGGCAGGCGGAGCTGAGCCTTAAGCTTAATAGACATCTACTTAATTCATTTTCCTTTTCTGTCTATTTTGTGCCAGGCACTGTACTAGGCCTCATTTCTTCTGACCCCCTTTTGGGCAGAACAAATGTCCCACACGTCTTCCCCAGGGTGGGAAAGACGCAGAGGCGGGGTTCATAACCACCATCTGACCTCAAATACTAAGTGCGCCCTGACTATGGCGGGGCATTGGCCTGAGCTTTTGCCTGTATCATGGCATTTTCGCAAAGGAATTTAGAAAGGATTATAACCTTCCCCTTTTATAGGTGCATAAATAGACTAAGGAGCAACAGGAGCGGTCAGGACAGGGATACAGCTCTGCTCAAAAGCCAGCTCTTAATTGCCAACATGGGGGTGGGGGTGGTATATTCCTGGCCCTCATTTTCTGGGAGGGGGTAACACCCCTTCCCTGTCTAGGCCTTTACATCCTTTGGGGTCTGGCTGTGGGAGATGGGGGCACTTGGGAGGTCTGCACCAGCCAGTTCCTGGAAGATTGCCAAAATGGGATTCTCCTTTCACTTCAACTTTCCTGGCTGTCTCACGCACTCCGCTGCCTTCTCCTGGGCCTCTCAGCGCATCGCCACCCACCCGGGGGACCCCCGGAGCCGCGCCAGCTCTCCAGGATGGGAATTTCGTGACGTTCCCTGCCTGGGTTTCGGCGAGGGCGGGGGGGAGCGACATAAGGGGCCATCACACAAGTGCATTCCCTGGCCTTCGCCGCAAACGGGGATTCTCACCTGGGCCGGGGGACTCCTTGGAGGAGGAGCGCTGGGCTGGCAGGACCGGTCGAGTCCCTGCGTCCCTCGCCGCTCCGCTGCCCAGTTCCGAGACTCTCGTCCCCCTCCGCCGCCCCGCCCGCTCGAGGGTGGGTGGGCGCTTCCCTCCGCTCCCCTTGACACTTTGCAGACGCTCCCCGGCGCCGGGCATGGGCGCCGCCGCCACCGTCGGTCCCCGGGCCGGATTCCGCGCGCGGGTGGGTGAGCGCGGGGGGCCCCGGCCCCTCGGACCCCGGGCATCCACGGGCGGGGGATGGTGGCCGCGTTTGCACCCCTGGGCTGTTGCATGCCCTCTCTGGGACCTCTTTCCACGACTGCTCCCCCCTCCCACCCGCGGGACAAAGGGCGGGGGCGGGGGGCGCATCCCCACGCGTGACCTTCCTTCGTACTGCGCACGCACCCAGGACCCCCCACCATGGGGGAGGGGGCCTGCTCGCCCACCCGAGTGCGGGGGAGGGGTGTGGGGCTCCCCGGGATGGGGGAGGCACCGTGCGTGGGCTGGATCTGCACGCTGTGCTTGGAAGTTGGGGCACAGTTTCCCCCCTGCACCCACCGCTTCTTTTGGCCGAGAAGTGCCCCATAATGAGGGTCATTGTCACGCAGGCCAGGGTGTCTCTGTTCTGTCCACCCCATGGGAAACCAGCAATTTAGGGCTCCAGCTCCCTTTTCTCTCAATACTCAGGAGCCCAGGTCCCCAGTCACTTCTCCCCCAGGACCTAGGCGTCTGGGCCCCCTGCACTCTCATTCCCTAGATTCCAGGAGTTTGACACCTCACCTCAGTCCTGGAGTCCAGGCCCACAGGTCCTTCCTCTCTCACTTCTGAGGGGCCAGGGCCCCCGAGTCCATCCACTTCCCTCCATCTGTGGCTGCTGTTTCTGTCCAGTGCCCCTGAGGCGCTCAGCTGCCGGATCCGCAGGAAGCAGAGCCATGAATGACCGAAGCAGCCGGAGGCGGACAAGTGAGGAAGCTGGGTCCTCTTCCCTACCCTTGTCCCAATATGGCCTGCCCGCCCTGCCCCCTCCTGTCCAGGGCTGCTGTGGTTGGGGCTGGCCAGAGGAGGCCAAGGAATTCTTTGGGGTGACCCCGGTCCTCTCTTCTCCAGTGAAAAAGGATGATGAGGCCTTTGAGATCTCCATCCCCTTCGATGAAGCGCCCCACCTAGACTCACAGATCTTTTACAGTCTGAGTCCCTCTCGGGGAAACTTTGAGGGTGAGCTGAGAGGGTCATGGAGGGACTGGAACCATCAGGGTGCCGCCAGAGCCCTGGAGTGTGACCTGTATTCCCTGCTGCTCCCTGCTGTCCCCAGAGCCCCCGGAGGCTGCATCCCCAACCCTAGCCCTAATGAACAGCGTCAAGGCCCAGCTACACATGGCCCTGGAGAGGAACTCCTGGTTGCAGAAGCGCATAGAGGACCTGGAGGAAGAGAGGGACTTCTTGCGGTGTCAGCTGGACAAATTCATCTCTTCTGCCCGGATGGATGCAGGTGGGGGGGCACAGATATAGTCCCCTCCCTGACCCACTCCTGGGCATTCTGGCACCCAGATCACCCACAGGCCTGAAGCCCCACCGCTCTGCTGGCTCTGTGGGGACCTGGCATCTTAACCTCTCCAAGAGCCCTCTGCCTGTTTTGGGGACCCCAAGCCCGATTTCCTTCTTGATGTCCAAGTTCTGTCATCCCCAGGTACTGTCTATCCCCTGCCTTCCCTGTTGGTTCCCCCAAATCTCACCAGCCTCAAGCACCATGAAGTCAGCTTCCTCAGCCTACCTACAGTGCCTTCAGGGACTCTGGGACCTGAGTGTCTAGGTTCCTTCTTCCTGACTACTAGGGTCAGCCTTCCTCATCTCCACCCTGGTCCTTTGTGTTTCCTCAGGGGCCTGCTCCTCACCTCAGCCTGGTCTTGGAGGACCAAGAGTCCAAGCTTCCAGCCTCACCCCCCAGCCCTGTTTGATACCATCTTCCCACCCAACCTGTCTCACAGCTTGGCTAATGAATGCTTCTTCCCCAGGAAAGATATCAAGTCCCTTGCCACTGGACTCAGCCCCTCCCCTGATGGGACCTCTTTGGGTGGGGATCTCAGCATCTGTTTTCCCCCATATCCTGCCTCAGAATTCTGGGCAGCCTCCACCTGCTTACCTGGCACTGCTATAATGCCTGACCAGTAGCAGCCCAGGGAGCTGCTACAGCTGATATTCATGCTGTCCTAAGGCCAAGCCAGTTTACAGCGAGTATTTTCTTCTGATTGGTGGGATGCCGAGCCCTGCTTGTTAACATATTTTGAGCACTACACTCATTCCCTTCCTCAGGTGGTCAGGGCATTCCCTTACCATATCTTCAGTCCATGTCTTGGAGACCACCCCCCCATGGAAGCCCCAGTAGGGCCCTTGCAACTCCCTGGCTGGGAAGTCCCCTCCAAAGCTCTCCCATCCCTCTCTGTGAGTTCACACCTTTCCCTCAAAAGTCTGGGCAAGGGAGGCTTGTGGTCATTTAGTGTTTCAGTTACTTGGGACCCCAGCCTCTGGGCATCTGGCTTTTCCTCTGCTCTGGAGCCTGGGTCACCAGCACCTAGCACCATCTTCTCACTCTGATGGTTCCATCCTGGGCAACTTGCCCCCTTCCCCGTGTTTGGGGCCCAGGGCCTCTGGATTTTCTCATTGGGGACCCCAACACAAAACTTGTCTCCTAACTCACCTTTTGGAGGACTGTATCTGAGCCTCAGCTGGCTCCCTCCATCCAGGCAGAAGTGGTCACCTTCCCCAGCCTGCCAGACCCAGTGCCCCCAATATCTCACGGTCTGCCATGCCTCCCAGCCAAGGTCTTGCCTGCCTCCTGGGTTTCCAGACTCCACTCTCTGGAGGTCCCATCAAGTCCCCAGAAAACCCCTCCTCTACTATGGAAACCCCATGTAGTCACAGACCCTCCTGGGATCTCTGGTCCTAGTCAACTTGGCCCCCTCCCCCAGACCTCTGGGAAACTCCTGCCCATGACTGCCTCCCCCAAACGCCAGCCAGTTATACTCTTTTCAGCCATCCCCTGCGTCTATACTGCACTCTGTCCGTGTGTCGTTGGGGACTCCAGTTTGGGGACTTGGTCTCCAGGCTCTGAGGCCCCATAATTTCCCCCTGGGATCTGTGATGTGATGTCTGGTCCCCCAGTTCATGTGTGTGTGTGTCTCTCTCTCCCCAGAGGACCACTGCCGGGTGAAGCCCGGGCCCCGGCGAGTGGAGGGGGACAGCCGGGGTGGGGCGGGGGGCGAGGCCTCTGACCTGGAGTCAGCAGCCTCCTCCCTCAGCGGAGCGTCCGAAGAAGGCAGCGCCAGCGAGAGGCGGAGGCAGAGGCAGAAGGGAAGCGCTGGCCGGAGGCGCCTGGGGAAGCCCAAGGCCCGGGAGAGACAGCGGGGTGAGCGGGGTGCGTGGGGCGCGGACCTCCTGTGTGTCCTCCCGAGAGGTCCCCCTCTGCTCTCCAAGCCTTGGCCTCCTTAGCTGTGAAAAGCCCAGACCTGGCTCCACTGCCTCCCATCCAAGTGTGGTCCTGGGTTTACCTTCCTTATATCTCGGGCCACCCTCACCAGCAGGGCTACCTTGGGTACTTCCTTACTCTTCCTGAGCCTAAGTTTCTTCATCAGTGAAAAAGAGGAGGGCGCTGGACCCTACCTGACTGGGTGGGGTGTGAGGGGGCTGTGGCTCAGGTGGGGGTCTGGGAACTCATGGTTTAACCTAGTCTCTGCTCATTTCTCTCCTCATCCTCTCTGGGCCTACCTTCAATTTCCCACTGGCCCGAACTCCACCTGCACTTGTCCGTCTCCCCTTCCTCCTGTTTTCCGTGTTGTTCTCCATGCCTTTCTGGCCTTGGCTCTTCTCTCCCTGTGCCCATTCCTTCCCTTTGTGCGCCCCACCTCGTCTCCTCCGCCCCCTACCCCGGGCCCCGCAGTGAAGGACGCGGATGGGGTTCTCTGCCGCTACAAGAAGATCCTGGGCACCTTCCAGAAGCTGAAGAGCATGTCGCGAGCCTTCGAGCACCACCGCGTGGACCGCAACACGGTGGCGCTGACCACGCCCATCGCCGAGCTGCTCATTGTGGCCCCCGAGAAGCTGGCTGAGGTGGGAGAGTTCGACCCCTCCAAGGAGCGGCTGCTCGAGTACTCCCGCCGCTGCTTCCTGGCCCTGGACGACGAGACGCTCAAGAAGGTGCAGGCGCTCAAGAAGAGCAAGCTGCTGCTCCCCATCACCTACCGCTTCAAGCGGTGATGCCGGCCCTGCTGCACGAGCCGGGCGCTCCGCACGGGGCCTCCACGGCGCGCGGCGTCTTTGCGCGCGCTCCTCCTCCTCTCGCAGGCCCCCACTCCCACCCACCCCGGGGCCCCCCTGTATATAGACCTGTCCCCTTTCCCCGCCGTCCTAGCATCGTCCTCACTCCCCGGTGGGAAGGACCCCCAGAGCCGCCGCCCCTTCCTGAACACGGCGTCCTCCGCCACGCGGGCCGCGCCAGCCCTGCCCTCGCCGGGCCCCTGGCGCCCGGGAACGCCGGCTGGCCGGGTGCCCCTCTCCCCGGGGGACGCGGGGGAGTCTGTGTATGCCCTCGCCCCGGGAGAGGCTGGCCCGCCCGTTCCCCTGCCAGGAGCTGCCCACCCACATTCCCGGACCGACCACTCCCATTCCACATGAGACAGATAATTATTCAGAGAATTTAAATTAAAAAAGAGACGTGAAAATTTGGAATAAACTGGGCCTCAGCCTCTTCCTAGGAGGGGAACGTGCCTGGAAGGGGGCGGCTGTCGCCACGGAGATGGTGACGGGGCTGGTGAGCTAGTTCCAGGGAGCGGCGGCCAGGCGGGGAGCGGGGAGGTTGGGGAGGACAGGGTGTAATTAGCCCCCTGGAGGCAAGAGGTGGGAGGGGGAGAAGCATCTGTGTCCCAGGGAACTCGGAGGGCGCAGAGCTCTGGAAGAAAAGTGTGGACACTCCCGGCTGGGTTCTCCGGAGCAGCGAAGGGGCGGCAGGAGGCGGGACTCAATGACCTCCAGCCGCGGCCACGGGGGGGGGGCGGGGGAGACCAGGGGCAGTCTGGGCAGACGGTTCCGCCGGCCCGCCAGGGGGCGGTAAGGAGACAGATCATTTTATCGGACGTAACATTTCCAACTGCCTCCTGCGCCTGCGCGGCGGGAGGGACAAGCGCACCCTTCACTCGGCTGCCTAGGCAACCAGGAGAGGGCGGCCTTGCCCAACGGTCAGGAGTACGGTACTTTCCCTCCGGGAAGGGAAAATCCCGCGCGCACGCGCGCTGCGGACTCTGGAACCCGTCCCCCTCCTTACTGGAGCAGTGAGGAACCTCGCCACGGACAGATTTCTACGCAGGCGCCGAAGTCCGTTTCGGCCCCTCGGTTTCCACCCCGCGCAGGCGCACAAAGCCGCGCAGGCAACCTCCGCAGCGGCTTCGCGCACCCTTCGCTCGCTGGCTGCTTTTGTCCCACGCAACCTTCTCAGGTCCTCCGCCAGGTTGGCTCTTCTTTTCTTCCATTCTCCTCACAGGGAGAGCCAGGTGCCGAGAGCCGGTACCCCGCCCCCTTTTCTGTATCCCTTTCCCTGACCCATCTTGCCTCAGTCCTCCCTCCCTTTTCTGTTCCCGAAGCCGGAAGGAGCCGAAGCGCCGACGGAAAAGGCCGAAGCTGTGCCCCGTGAGTGAGGCCTTCACGAAGCGGAGGCGGAAGGAGCCGAAGTTCTCCGGGAGAGGAGGAGTGAACGAGTGGAATCTCCGGAAAGAGCCGAATTTTGGAATCGAGCGTAATCTCTGGAGGGACCCGAGGGCAAGCACCGGAAACCTTCGGCAGGGGCCGAAGTCCGGGACGGTTACGCTTGTTGGAAGTGGACGATTGCTTGGACAGGGCCGGCAGAGAAGGCGGGGCGCGTCTGCGGAAGAAGTCATAGGCTGGGACGGTTTGAATTGTCGGAAGACGCCGAACCCCTAGAGGGGGCTGGGTGCAGAGGAACGCGAGGACCCGCAGAAACCTCCGAACGTTGAGAAGCTGATCTCCGAAAAGTTACGGAGACCTGGCAAAACCGTCGCTTCGGGTGTTTTCGGAAGCAGCCGAAGCCGCCGCCTGCTTACTCCTTCAGCTACTCTCCGGAAATAGCCGACGCGCTTCGGAGTCAGGCTCGGGGTGGGCAGGGGCAGCTCGCGGAGGGGGCGGGTGGGGAGAGGGGGCGGAGCCTGGGCGGGGCGGGGCGGGCTGCCGGGGGCTTGATTAGGTAGAAGGCGGCGAAGCGCCGGCGGCGGCCGGAAGTAGCCGAAGCCAGCGGCGGAAGTAGCCGAAGCGGCCAGAGCGGGCGGGCGGCAAGGCGAGGCGAGAGCTGTACAGGGCCCTACGCGGCCGCCTAAGCATGTCGGACTTCGACGAGTTCGAGCGGCAGCTCAACGAGAATAAACAAGGTGAGGGCGCCGGGGTCGCGATGCAGCGGTGCGGGCGGTTCCCTACGTCGCTCTTTGCCCCCCGCCATTTTCCCTCTTGCTTCCCCCCCCTCTCTGTGCCGCGCGGTGCCCCCCCACCCCGGTTCCGTGGCGCGCGCCTTGCTCACGTGACTCTGGCGTTCCGTCGCGCGCGCGGCGAAGGGAAGGGGGCGGCAGGGCGCGGGCCCGCGACGCATGCGCGCGCTGCGCGTCCGCGCGCCCCACGTGGTCCCGACCCAGGCGGCGTAGGGGACGCGCCGCGAGCGCGCCAGATTCTCCGACATGAATTTTTTTGTTTTTTCCTTTTTGCTGTAAAGGAGATTGTATTAGGTCCCGTAATCCCTTTTTCTCCCGCTGCCTTGGCACTTCCGCTTCCGGTTGGGGCGACGGACCCCCATCTCCACGCCCCCTTTGTTTCCAAAATGGCGGTTGTGAAGATGGGCTACCCTCCTTCACGTGGATGAGGGCAGAACCGTCTCGGGGGGCGCGCGTGGAGATCGTGGGTTCCTCGTACCCCTTTTCCTTTCTGCCTATTAACTGTGAACTCTCCGCCAGGGCGTTTCTGCCCCAGCCACTGGTCGTGGGGCGCCTCAGATTAACGTGTTGGAAGCCCATACAATCTTAAGAGGGAACCATCTGCATTGTTTCAGCGTCCCGCACGCATACATCTTGCATATACAGGGCTTTTGACGTTCCCGACAGTCGCGATATGGAGTGTTTGCTCCACCACATCTCCCTAACTTGACAAACCCAAGTGTGTCCAATCCCAAACTCAGGGCCCCTAGATTCAGCCTCATGATTCTTATCAACGTAGAGGTAGGGGAATTGAGGTTCTGCTTGAGGAAAAGGGATCTTGCCCAGTTAAGTACTTAGGCGGGAGGCAGATATCCCTTGTGTGATGTCTAGGATTGTGGTGGGTCGCAACAAAGCCCAAGGCCATGCTAGTGCTGATCCGTTAGTGACTCCAAGAATATTAGAACTGGGAGAGTCGTTAGACGTTTTAAAATTCTTGACTCCATATTTTGGTTTGAGAGTGAGGAAACTTAGGAGTAGGGAAGCTTGGGGACATGGGTCTTAGATCTTGAGGTTTAAGCTTAAGATCCGTGTTTCTAGCTGGAGTTTGAGGATGGAATGAGGGCTTATGAATTCTCCTTTGAACCCAGGCTGGAGTTGTGTAGGGCAGTGGCTGGCTGAATTAGTAAACAGTTCCTGGGGAAGAAATAACATTTACTGAGTTCGCAAAGTATTTTGACTCTGTCTTAGGTGACTTATGTACTGCCTAAGAGCATGGTCTTTGGAGTTGAGCACAGCTGGGTTCAAATACACATTTTGTTGCCTAGTAGCTGTGCTACTGCAGTACCTTTATAGCTTGGTTTTTTTTCATCTGCAGATTGACCATCATTATTCTTTTGTCATTGGGTTTTTAAGAGGATTAACATTGGTGCTATTAATGACAGTTGCAGTGATGAGTGCTTACCATGTGCCACAAGAGGGGCACTTTGCTCTTAGCATGGTTTCTCTTTCTCCTTCCTTTTTTTTTTTTTTTTTTTTTTATTTTTTTTTTTCCATTTGGAGATGGGAGATAGGGGTTTCAATATGTGGCCAGGCTGGTCTGGAACTCATAGGCTCAAGGGATCCTCCCACTTCAGCCTCCTGAATAGCCAGGTGTGCGCCACTTCCTCTGACTTAAGCATGGTTTTTCTAAGTAGATCCTTGTAACAGCCTTCTGAGGCCAAAATGGTTTCCATGCCTTTATGGGGAGGAAACTGAGGGCTCAGAAAATTTAAACTTTACCACGTTTCTGCTGGTCAGAGACAGAGCTAAGATTAAATGGAGAAACATCTAAAGTGTGTGGCTTGGCATACACTAAGTGCCTAATAAGTGATATTTATCGTGAAATCTCACGTGTAGAGAGGAAGTAGAAAGGCAGGTTTTCGGCATGCATAGAGATGACATCGGAGTTGGGGAAGGGCAGGGAAATGTACTTTCCAAACATTATTCTGGCAAGTCCTCCCAACGTGGATAAAAAGTAAATGTGGTGTCTCACGTTCAAAGAAGAGAAAATCAAGTCTTAAAGGTTAAGTTACTTTTTTTTTTTGATTTTAAATTTTTTTTTTTTTTTTTTTTTTTGAGACAGAGTCTTGCTTTGTTGCCCTGGCTAGAGTGAGTGCCATGGCGTCAGCCTAGCTCACAGCAACCTCAAACTCCTAGGCTCAAGCGATCCTCCTGCCTCAGCCTCCCAAGTAGCTGGGACTGCAGGCATGCACCACCATGGCCGTCTAATTTTTTGTATATATATTTTTAGTTGGTCACTTAATTTCTATTTTTAGTAGAGATGGAGTCTCGCTCAGGCTGGTTTCAAACTCCCGACCTCGAGCAATCCGCCCGCCTCTGCCTCCCAGAGTGCTAGGACTACAGGCGTGAGCCACCTCACCCGGCCTTATTGTATGGTTTTATATAGTTGGTAAGCAGAAACACAGATACTGATTCTGACTTCTGTCTGGGTGTAAAGCCAAGTTCAACTGTGTTGGACCACAAAGTGGAGCTGATTGAGCTGTTCTTCGAGGCTCTTTCAGATAATGTTGCTCTGGTCCTCCCAGGTTTTCCCCTCTGGTTTTGAGAGGCCAGACCCTGAGACTTGGTAGGGCTCCTGGGTTGGTGGAGCTGCTCCTGCAAGATTACTACAACACAGTGAATGAAGCTCCGTCTCTGTTCTTATCTTTGCAGCATCAGTGTAGGAGAGGGTTCTTGCCACAGGGGAAGCTCTGTCCATGTGCCACCTTGTCTGTGAGTCTGCTCTGCAGGCCATCCTCCCTGCAACTCTTGGCTTCAGTCCATTTCTCAGCTACCTGTGTCTACAGGGAATTGCCTTGTCTATGTTCCAGGCACCCAGTGGGCATCATTGCCTCTCTGTGGGTCTCTCTCTGCTTGCTTGTCTGTTTCAGAGCCTTAGCAGCAGGAAAGGCTCTTGGGACTCACAGTCTGCTCATCTTACAAGTGTGGAGCCAGCGCTCTGCCCAGTGCCTTGCCTGTGTGCTTACCCCACTACTCTACACTGCTGATGTGGCTTGTCGATTCTTCCCTCCCCATCATAATCTTTGGGGTTTTGGGGGGGCCTTCCTAGGAGACAATTCCATTGTCATTAGTGGCTCCACTCAGACTCTGGAATGTTCTGCCATGTTCAGGTGTATGGCCTTGGTACTTAACTCACAAAAATTACAGTGTTTAAATTCAGGCTTCACTGTTTCTTAGCTGTTGGGCTTTGGACAAGTTGTTATTTCTCTGTGCCTGAGTTTTCTTATCTATTACGTGAGCCCCCAGCAATGTTTTTCCAAAGCAGTAGTGAGGATTAAGTACAAATAAAACTGTTAGTACAGATTTCAGTTTTAAGAAGCATGTCAATATTTGTTACTAAGTTATTTTCTCTTCTGGGTGCATGTTTTTCTTGAGCCTTAGTGGTTATGGAGTTGAGATGTGTTTACAAAAAGTTCATGTGGCATCAGAAAAATACATGAAATAAAATATTATGAGTGAAGCTACAGTGTGCTTTGACACCTTCTCCTCACTGCCTTTTCCTCCTCTTGTCCCCAGGGATCACTGCTCTTTAGGAGATACGTGTGAAACTACATGAGTACAATAACGTGTTTATCTTTTTTTTTTGCTTGTGTGTGCCTGATGGATAGTTGAGAAATCAGGTGCCTTTGAATTAGGGAAATAACGTATGATGGTGCTCATGAACACTCCTAGTTCTCATGGTTTGTTCTTTCCCTGTAAGGGTTCATCTCCCTTCTTCAGAGGGTGAAGTGTCTGGTGGGAGCAGAGGTTTCTGTGGTTTTGCTAGCAAGGCTCCCTTCCTTGTGGCCGCCTTGGAGGCAGATGAGAGGGGTTTAGGGAACCCCTAACTCTAACCCCTACTCTGCCTCCCCCTCCTGTACTTGGCTTTGAGGGAGTAGGTGAGCCAGGGAGGATCAGATGGTTTGGGATTCAAGTGTGGGTGGGGCAGACTCCTCTTCCGACCTGCTGGAGCAGGGTGGGGCATCTTCCCCTCAGTCTGCAAATTCAGAAAGAGGCCCCTCCCTGGGGGAGGGTGCTCCTGTATTATTTACCTGGTTGGGAAGGGATGGGTTGAGTTTCCCTGCTTCCTGGGGATATCAGATCCTGTCTGGCACCTGACCCTTGGGTCTGATGGTGGGGCTGGGGGTGCCAGCTGGTTGCAGAGGTCTTTCCTGAGGGGTCGCTGGGTCCCTTCAGGAAAACATCATTGGGTCTCTTGATTCCCCAGCCTCTAGCCCTGCCCCTCTCAGGGACGACCCTGGGGTCAGGCCCCTCAGCCCTCGAGGGGGACCAGGAGCCAGCCTCCTCTGTCTTCTCTGGCTCCCCAGCTCCTCCTGAGCATCCTCAGGTATCTTACACCCCGGGGGCATTTGCAGGCCCCGTCCCCCTGGTCCCCTGAGTCCCTGGACTCGCTTGTGGACCCAGGAGGCCTGTTATGTCCCTTCCTCCAGCAAATCCCTTCCCTTTGGGGGTGGCCTCCCTGGGGCTCCGG